AGACAATAAAAAAAAACCACAGTCTAAAGGAATGCTGGAAATAGAAAAGCTGGGAAAACGGTCAGGTATTACAGCTGCAAGCATAACCAACAGAATACAAGAGATGGAAGAGAGAATCTCAGATGTTGAAGACACACTAGGAGAAATAGATTCATCGACCAAAGAAAATCTTAAGTCCAACAAATCCCTAACATAAAACATCCAGGAAATATGGGACACTGTGTAAAGGCCAAACCTAAGAATAATAGGTAGAGAAAAAGGTGAAGAAAACCACCTGAAAGGGGCAGAAAACATATTCAACAAAATCACAGAAGAAAACTTTCCCAACTTAAAGAAAGTACAAGAAGCCTACAAAACACCAAATAGAGTGGACCAAAAAAAAACAAAAACAAAAAAAAAGTCTTCTCTCCTCATAATAATCAAGACCCAAAATATACAGAATAAAGAAAGAATATTAAGAGCAGCTATGGAAAAAGTTCAAGTAACATATAAAGGCAAACCTATCAGAATCACACCTGACTTCTCCATGGAAACTCTGAAAGCCAGAAGGTCCTGGATAGATATTCTACCAACACTAAGAGACCATGGATGCCAGCACAAACTACTATACCCGGCAAAACTCTCAATCACTATAGATGGAGAAAACAAGATATTCCATGACAAAACTAGATTCAAACAATATGTATCTACTAACCCAGCCCTACAGAAAGTTCTGGAACAAATACTCCAACCCAAGGAAGTTAACTACAACCAGAAAAATATAGGCATTAGATAATCCCACCTTACCAACAGCCAAAAGAAAAAAAGGGTGGAATTCCACACATAATTACACCAACAACAACCATTCTAAATCAAAGAAGAATGAACAATCAATGGTCATTAATATCCCTCAATATCAATGATGGTCTTAACGTGCCCATAAAAAGACACAAGCTAACAAAATGGATTCGAAGACAGAACCCATCCTTCTGCTTCCTACAAGAAACACACCTCAGCCTTAAAGACAGACATTACCTCAGAGTTAAAGGTTGGGAAAAGATTTTCCAATCAAATGGACCCAAGAAACAAGCGGGGGTAGCAATCCTAATATCTAACAAATTAGACTTTAAAATAAAATCAATAAAAAGAGATGAAGGAGGTCATTACATACTCATCACAGGAGAAATTCACCAGGATGAAGTTTCAATTCTGAACACTTATGCCCCAAATACAAAGGCATCCACGTCCATAAAAGAAACATTACTAAAACTCAAATCACATATAAAGCCCCACATACTTATAGTGGGAGACTTCAACACCCCACTCTCACCACTAGACAGGAATATCAGACAGAAACTTAACAAAGAAGCAAAGGGGCTAATAGAAGTTATGACCCAATTGGGATTAACAGACATCTATAGAACATTCCATCCAAATAAAAAAGCACCACATGGAACCTTCTCGAAAACCCACCACATACTTGGCAACATACCAAACTTCAACAGGTACAAAAAAATTATAATAACTCAATGCATCTTATCAGACCACCATTCGTTAAAATTAGAATTCAACAACAACACAAACTGCAGAAACCCTGCAAACTCTTGGAAATTGAATAATGCACAACTGCACCATTCCTGGGTCAAAGAAGAAATATAAAAAGAAATTAAAGACTTCCTAGAATTCAGTGAGAATGATCATTAGAAACAACATACCCAAACTTATGGGACACTCTGGAAGCAGTGTTAAGAGGAAAGTTCATAGCACTAAGTGCCCACATGAAGAAACTGAAGAATAGTTATGCTAGAGAATTAACAGCACAGCTGAAAGCTCTAGAACACAAAGAAGCAAACTCACCCAGGAGTAGATGCCAGGAAATAATCAAACTGAGGGCGGGAAACAAAAGTAGAAACTAGGAAAACAATACAAAGAATCAATGCAACGAAGAGTTGGTTCTTTGAGAAAATCAACAAGATAGACAAACCTTTGTGCAAACTTACCAAAGGGCAGAGTGTGAACATGCAAATTAACAAAATCAGAAACGAAAAAGGGGATATAACAATGGACCCTGAGGAAATTCAGAGAATCATTAGGTCATACTTTGAAAACCAGTACTCCATAAAATTCGAAAATTTAAAGGAAATGGACAATTTTCTGGATAGCTATCACTTGCCAAAATTAAATCAAGAACAGATAAGCAATTTAAATAGACCTATAACCCCTATGGAATAGAAGCAGTCATCAAAAGTCTCCCAACCAAAAAAAGCCCAGGGCCAGATGGCCTCAGTGCAGAATTCTACCAGAAATTCAAAGAACAGCTTATACCAATTCTTCTCAAAGTATTCCACACAATAGAAGCAGAAGGGTCTTTGCCAAACAAACTCTTTCTACGAGGCTTCAATAACCTTGATACCCAAGCCACACAAAGACACAACTAAGAAAGAGAACTTCAGACCAATATCCCTCATGAACATTGATGCAAAAATACTTGATAAAATACTGGCAAATCGGATCCAAGAACACATCAAAATAATCATTCACCACCATCAAGTAGGTTTCATCCCAGGGATTCAAGGATGGTTCAACATACGAAAATCCATCAATGCAATCCACCATATAAACAAGCTGAGAAACAAAAAACACATGATCATCTCATTACATGCAGAAAAAGCCTTTGACAAAATCCAACACCCCCTCATGATAAAGGTCTTGGAAAGATCTGGGATAACAAGAACTTACCTCAACATAATAAATGCTATATACAGCAAACCAACAGCCAACATCAAACTAAATGGACAGAAACTCAACCCGATTCCGCTAAAATCAGGAACAAGACAAGGCTGTCCACTCTCTCCATACCTCTTCAATATTGTACTTGAAGTTCTAGCTAGAGCAATACGACAACAAAAGGAGATCAAGGGGATACAAATTGGAAAAGAAGAGGTCAAATTCTCACTATTTGCAGATGATATGATAGTTTACATAAGTGACCCAAAAAACTCTACCAGGGAACTCCTACAGCTGATAAATACTTTCAGCAAAGTGACAGGATGCAAGATCAACTCAAGAAAATCAGTAGTCTTACTATATACAGATGATAAAAGGGCTGAGAAATCAGAGAAACATTACCCTTACAATAGCCACAAACAACATAAAATAAATTGGGATAATGCTAACTAAACTAAACCTGTATTGCAACAACTTTGAGTCTTTTTTTTTTCAACTTTGAGTCTTTAAAGAAAGAAATTAAAGAAAACATCAGAAAATGGAAAGATCTCCCATGCTCTTGGATAGGTAGAATCAATGTAGTAAAAATGGCAATCCTGCCAAAAGAAATCTACAGATTCAATGCAATTCCCATTAAAATACCAGCACAATTCTTCACAGACCTTGAAAGAATGATCAATTTTGTATGGAAAAACAAAAGACCCAGGATAGCCAAAACAACCTTATTCAACAAAGCAACATCAGGAGGCATCACCATCGCTGACTTCAAGCTCTATTATAGAGCTGTAGTCCTGAAAACAGCTTGGTATTGGCACAAAAATAGACAGGTAGACCAATGCAATCAAATTGAAAACCCTGATATTAACCCACACACGTATGAACATCTGTTCTTTGACAAAGAAGCTAAAAATATACAATGGAAAAAGAGCATCTTCAACAAATGGATGCTGGCATGCAGAAGACTGCAGATAGATCCATGTCAATCGCCATGCACAAAACTTAAGTCCAAATGGATCAAAGACCTCAACATAAACCCAGCCACACTGAAACTCTTAGAAGAGAAAGTGGGTGGTACCCTTGAACAAATTGGTACAGGAGACTGCTTCCTGAACATAACACCAGTAGGACAGACAGTGAGGTCAACAGTTAATACATGGAACCTCCTGAAACAGAAGCTTCTGTAAGGCAAAGGACACAGTCAACAAGAAAAAAAGGCAGCCCACACAATGGGAAAAGATATTCACTAATACCATATCTGACAGAGGACTGATTTCCAAAAATTTATGGAAAACTCAAGAAGCAAGTCTCCATTAAATTAAAAAGTGGGCTACAAAACTACATAGAGAATTCTCAATAGAGGAGTATAAAATAGCTGAGAGGCACTTGAGAAAGTGCTCAACATCCATAGCCATCCAGGAAATGCAAATCAAAACAACTCTGAGATACCATCGTACTCCTGTCCGAATACCTAAGATCAAATACACCAAGGACAGTTTATGTTGGACAGGTTGTGGAGAAAGGGGAACACTCCTCCACTGCTGGTGGGAGTGCCAACTCATACAGCCACTTTGGAAATCAGAATGGAGATTCCTCAGAAAAATGGGAATAAGCCTACCATAAGACTCAGCAAATTCCACTCTTAGGCATATATTAGAAAGATGCACATTCATACAACATGGACATCTGTTCCACTATGTTAATAGCAACATTATCTGTAATAGTCAGAACCTGGAAGCAACCTAGATGCCCCTCAACTGAGAGTAGATAGAGAAAATGTGGTACATTTACACAATGGAGTACTACTCAGCAGATAAAAACATGTATGCACAGTAGTCATCAGCTACTGCACTTAGATTAAGTGCACCCAGCACCCATCCTGTATCCCTCCAGCCAACCTCCCTTCTGCTCGTATGACTGAGTTCCACTATATAATTAAGTCAACTAAACTGTCTATGTCCATACTGATCGTTAAGTCTCAGTGAATCTTGCTATTGGTGATAAGCAGTATCCCCATGTTTTAAGTTCATTTTAGCTAGGCTGTAATGTCACTGCAGCCAAGTGCTTCCTGACACAATAGCTCCCTGTGTTTTTATGACATGATGAAAACATATTCATTACTAATTAACATTTTATAATTTATAATTTTAGAAAAACAAATAGAAGTGGGTAAATTAAATTTTTGCTTCGTATATGCATATTTAAATAGATTTTACAAACATGTAATGTTTTATAACACTAAAAGACTTTTAAAACTTATAAAGACAAATAGCAGGAAAATTGATCCATACTCATACCTTTCCGTGTATTCTCTGTTACATCTACCCCAAACTGGATAATGTCACCAGAAAGAATTTCACATGGTGGACTTTCTTCAGAGCCTCGACTCAATCTCTGGCTATTTATAAAGGTACCATTACTACTTTTAGTGTCTTGGAGATAAAACTGAAAAGAAAAGAAAAAGCAAAGGGTTAACAGTAATAATATCAAACCTACTTTTAAAAAAGTACCATCAGCTTCGCAAACTACTTCAAGATGACTTTTCCCCTATCAACTGAAAGCTCTCATTTCAGTTAATGTTCAACACACATGAAAAGAAAAACTTAAAACTGCATAGTTTAAAATTTAGCTGGACATATGGTGGAAACACCTTATAAAAAAGCTTGTCATGTCCTCAAAGCGTTAAACATAAAGTTAGAGTACAGCCCAACAATTCTAAACTCCTTGTCGTCACAAAATGTGTATGCAAATATTCATAATAGCATTGTTCATAATCAAAAACAGAGGCAACTGAAATGTCTTATCAATCAAATAGATAAACAAATGCAGCATATCTACACACCGGCTATTCGGCCATACAAAAGAATAAAATATTGATGCCTATATCTCCATATGGTGGGCCTACAGAACACGACGCAAAGTAAAACACAGTCAGGGATGAGCGTGATAGCATATGCCTGCAATCTCAGCATTCAGGAGACCTGGGCAGGAGGATCATGAGATCAAGGATGGAGGACAGACATGGATGGAAGGAGCAGTTCAGTGACGGTGTCCTTGTCAAGCACGCACAATGCCCTGGATTCAGTCTCCAGCAGCACAGCAGAGAAGGTCAAGCAGCAGCTGCAGTCATCGCCACAAGTCCCCAAAGACCATCTAGTGGTCAGTCCATGTACAGAAACATAGCAATGTGCAAATACATAGGAACAAAAGTATGCCAATGGTTACAAGGAACTAAGGTGGCAGGGTGACTGAGTAATACAGTTTCTTTTAAGAATGATAGGGAAAGTAGATAATAAAGGTGTGATAGTTACACAACGCCATGAATGTACTAAGCCATACATTTTTAAAATGTGGATTTTAATACTGGAATAGTAGCCCATCCCTGTAAGAGTCTGAATTTAATACCAGCCTGAGCTACAGAGTAGTTCAAGGCCAACCAGAGAAATAAAATGAGACCTTAACCCTAGAGTAAAAAAGAAAAAGTCCATGATATAGATATTAATAGATTTGTATATAAATAAGAAATATGATAGTTAAACAAGTTAAATTATCTTCCAAAGGTTACAGAGGTAACACACAAACAAGGATTCACATAATACAATCAAAAGAATATTTCCCCTTACATAACAATGACTTCCATGTTTTATTATCCTTCGTTCATCCCACAAGCACTCTTACAAGATTAATCAAACCAAAAGCTAATAATGTGTTAAAAATGTAAAGCTGACATTTCATTTCTTCCAAGGTGACCATTTAAAGGCTACTACACTACCTATAATTGACTTATTATGTTTAAAACTTTAACAGAACAACTTCTGACTATGTCTAGAGTTAATTACAGATTGTCTTAGGGTTTCTATTGTTGCAACAAAACACCATGACCAAAAGGCAAGTTGGGGGAGAGGGTATTGGCTTATACTTCCACATCACTGTTCATCACTGAAAAAAAGTTAGGACCGGACTCGGACAGGGCAGGAGCCGACTGGCTTGCTAACCCTGGCTTGCTCAGCCTGCTTTCTTATAGAACCCAGGACCACCAGCCCAAGGATAACACTAGCCACCTTGGGCTGAACCCTTCCCCATCAATCACTAATTAAGAAAATGCCTTACAGCTGGATCTCATGGAGGCATCTCCTCAACTGAGACTCCTTTGTCTCTTGATGAGATTGTGTCAAGTTGAGACACAAAACCATCCAGTACATTGGTCATTTATAAAAGTCTGTGGATATTTTACAAATCCATTAAAAATTTACATCCATTAACATGTCATGCCAGGAAGACAAGGACTAGCAATGCTAGTCCCTTCTTAGCATTAGAACCTACTACATAAAGAAATGGAGGGGGTACTTCTAATATATCCCTAAGAAATACGGCAATAAGTGAGTGAAGTGGATTCTGGTTTACTTTTTCAGTATTTATGTCTGGAACGTCATAAATAGCTAATACAAAATTTACAGTCACTTTCAAACTTCAAATAGTGACCTGTTTGCCAGTTAAGTCAATTTACAGGATTGCAATTCTATTTTTCAGAAAATCTTACATTTGTTAAAACATGTATGAGTGTTTTGCCTGCACGTATTTAGGTGTTCTATGTGCATGCCTGGTGTCCACAGAGGCCAGAGAATGTGTCCAATCCTCTGTGAGCTAGCATATGGGTGCTGGAAATCACTTCTGGGTCTTTTGCAAAAGGAACACATGCTCCACATCATTGCTCTAGCCCAAGTTTATTTGTTTTTGGGTTTTGTTTTTCAATGTGAAAAGTAAAAGAAAAAATAAAAAGTATCTGGAACAAGGTTCAGTACCACTTATTAAAACTATTAAAAGGCAAATTAAAATCTATATACATGTGTTATGGCTCCTTTTCTGTAGATTCTATTTATAATTAAAAATAACTTGTTAATTAAAAATAAATAAATCAGTAAGTACTAATGTCTATTCTTTTCCTTCTTTAATTGCTTACTATATTACTTTTCAAAATACACCATGCTATCTTTGGTCTCCATTTAGCTGGAACATATCATTTCTATTAATTGCTCAGTTTCCTTTGTTTTTAATCTAATGGCTTACAAATACCTTAGAATACAATAGAAAGTCCTTATAACTGCAGCTTAGAATCAGTCCTGTATGATCTTGTTCCTTCTACGAACTCAGTTATTCCAGGTCTTTCCTTGGCACGCAAACGTCCACTCATAGCCCCAGGTCTCCACTTGGACTTGGACCTAGTTCCTTGAAGAGACACCTGTGTTTGGCAGCTGGGATGGTTGGTTTTAATTGTCAAGTTGGCAGGATCTAGAGTCACCTGGAAGAGAATCTCAACGTGGCATGCAAGGAGGTCTCTGAGTCACACTGGTGTGTGGATATGCCTCTGTGGGACTGTCCTAATTATGCCAATGTACAAGAAGATCCACCTCAGTCGGGACCAGGGCTGTGGAAGCCAGGACCGTGAGCTGGCCGGACCGTGAGCTGGCCGGACCGTGAGCTGGCCGGACCGTGAGCTGGCCGGACCGTGAGCTGGCCGGACCGTGAGCTGGCCGGACCGTGAGCTGGCCGGACCGTGAGCTGGCCGGACCGTGAGCTGGCCGGCACGTGCTGCTGTCTTCTGTCCACCCACGCCACATAAGCAGGTGCTGGGGGCTCTCGAGGCCTTGACTTTCCCAGCATTGATGCGTTACTGTACCCTGGAGCACGAGCTAATACAGCAAACCTTTCTCCCTTAAGTCGGTTTTGTCAAGAGTATTTCATCACAGCAACAAGGTGGAATAAAACAAGTAAGGCAGCTAGCTCTTCTCAAAAACTGAAACTAAAAACAATGGTTTTGTACCGCCTCTAAAATGGTGTTGTTACTATTAGGTCTACACTGTATGGAAATCCCTGTATTCACTCTTAGGTTAGGTTGACTAAAGATGTCAACTTGTTTGCAAGGACTAAAAGAGACCACGCTTACAGCTCCTGAACTCTTTCACAGAAAGCAAGTATGCTAGTTGGCCCTGTCAAACCAACTTTTTTCTTTATGCTTTTTTCCACTTTCAAAGAAAACAGTGTTGACCATACTTGAAATTTCTAATTAAGGCACTAGCAGACTCATTTATCCTGTTTCTCAGCACTATAAAGAACACCCTAGCAGTTCTGACTAGGCATTCACCTGATTGTTTAGAGTCCTAAATTTATTTAAAAAAAAAACAAGCCGGACATTGGTGGCGCACGCCTTTAATCCCAGCACTCAGGAGGCAGAGGCAGGCGGATCTCTGTGAGTTCAAGGCCAGCCTGGTCTACAGAGCGAGTTCCAGGACAGCCTCCAAAACAATACAGAGAAACCCTGTCTCGGAAAAAACAAAAACAAAACAAAAAAATTCTCTGTGGCTTGAAGACCAAAGTTCAACAACAGTACTTTCTTTGTTTTCATGCTTTAATTAGTCAACTAGTTAATTGACTTACTTTCCCAAGTGAGCTTTGTACTCCCTAAAATCATGAATTGATGGCAGTTCCTAACGGAAAGGTTTTCTGTACCAACAGTGACTTTCCCTAATTTCTTGCTGACCAATGCATTGTCACAGCACTGCACAGAATATATTATCTGACTTCACAAAGTTCCTAATATAGATTAATTGATTCTGTAAATACATACAGTGTACATTACTTTCAATGTGGAATATTTAGAACCTGAAAGTACTTTCACTCCTACTATAATGATAAATTGCATCTTCATAGCCTTTTCAATGCTGAAAGGCTTTGCAAATACCCAAACACCAAGAAGAGCTGAAGTTTCCAAACAAAACACAAGCACAGTGTGTGTGTGTGTGTGCTGTATATGACACATGTGATATGATATACTGTATATATCATACCACAGACAACCACAAATTCTAACTCCATATAGAAGAAGTTTCTTTGTTTACCCCTCAAGACAAACTCTCCTGTCCCCAGGCTGGCCTCAAACTTGCTACCAGCAGCTGGTGCACTTCAACTTCCCATGCCCCATGCATCATTCTAGGTGCTTTACGTACCGACGGCAACAGCCCCAGTGCCACACGGGAGATTTCTAAGTGGAACTACACAATGAACTCTGTGAAGACTGCAGATACTGCAAAAACACATTTTAATCTACCTCAATCATCACCTGAAACCAGAGTGACTAAGACAAAGCCAAAATCCAAAACTACACGGACATTTAGGGCCTCAAATCAAGAAACAGGGAAAACAGTTGCATGGCCATATACAGTGTGGTTGACTAAATCTGAGTATCACAAAATAGCTACCAGGTACTCTGGGAACAGGAGGAAATTGAAAGAAAAGGGGCTGAAAATGGAAACATTGAGCTCAACCCAGCAGCCATATAAACTTGGTTTCCCAGTTGGATCCATAGCCCTTCTCAATGTGAAACTAGGTTCTACCACTCGGGTAAACAAGTTCCCCTATAAAAATTCTTGAAACCAATCAGCCAACCA